TCATCGAGGATCGAACCTCGGGGCAAAAAGCGAAGTTGAGACCAGGTCTCGGGTTTTTCAGTTTATGAATGAAAGTTATTGGGCCTCTTCGCTGGTAAAACCGGCCGTCAACTCGACCTTGACCCCTCCAAATGACCAAAAACAATCGTTCGGTTTAGTGGGCTTTTTTTTTTTTTGGTTCTTGCATGTGAAAGGAAGAAGCGCAGCGATGGGATGGAGATTCAGGTTGAAAAGGACAGGGTGGACAGGACAGGATCGAGCTCTCTGACGTTTATCCCACAGCGTATCCCCAAGCTGTATCCCAAGGGAAAGTGCCTTGTACAGTTGGCAGTTGACCCTCAGGGCACATAATGACCAACGACCCGACGCGATTCACGACACACCTCTTTTGCGACTGAGAGAGCGGGCTTTGTGGATAAGTTAGTTAGGGGCAAAGGAGCGCTGGCTGAAATATATCGACTGTGGAAGGTATGTTGTTTTCCCAAAGCATGGAGGGGTATAATCGGTGACCACGTCTTCTAACCGGCTCATGTAGTCAGTCATGGAGAAGTACTCCCAGTTTCGGGATCGAGGTGCGTTCGCTAGCAACTACGGTGGTTATAAATCCAGTGCTCGAGAGGCGCTGACAGTATACAGCTTCGGGAATCGCTCCGTTCCTACCTATCGTGGGCCAGACACCGACGATATCAGTTTTATTTCACACCTTTCTGTTTGTTGTGCGATTCCCACTGTTAATATCAGCCTGTCTCTTCTATTTCTGCATATTGCAGTGGCTTCCCATAGGAAGTCTAGGGACGAAGATATCTCTTTGGACAATACTGGGCATACCGGGCATTTGGTGGGTAGATCTACAGATCGAAGGGGTGAAGAAAGGGTGAGTTGGATCTATACGTCCACCAGCGGCATCTTACTTTGAAACTGCTTCATTGACACACACACACCACTACACAGATCACTGGCGAAGCATGTACAAACACGTCTTCCCGGACCAGGAACAGTAATTGCTTCGTCGTTCACTAGCCCCATTGACGTTGTCTACCTGGCGGCCATATTCAATCCAGTGTTTACCACCTCTTACCCTGGGACACGTAAGGTGAAGCAGGTTTCGCTTCTGCAAGCTATTATTCATGCTTTCGACTCGCCAGAGCCCACGCCACCCCATTCGTCCAAGGCGGATCTAATCGACATATCGACGCTTATTAAACGGAATCCAGCCCGCTGTGTCGTCGTTTTCCCCGAATGCACTACCACCAACGGTAAGGGAATCCTTGAGCTCAGCCCTTCTCTCTGTTCAGCGACACCATCTACCAAGATCTTCCCTATCAATCTTCGCTATGAGCCGGCTGATGTCACGACACCGATCCCGGGATCCTATGCGAGGTTTATCTGGAACCTGCTGAGCAAACCAAGTCATTTTATCCGGGTGCGTATTGCCGAAAGTGTAAGCCAAGAAGTGTTGCAAACATGCCGGCCCAGACAAGCAGACGTGTCCGATGCAACCTTGAATCATGAACAGCAGAAATGATGTTCTT